AACTTCCAAAATTAGCTGGAACTTCTCTGAAAGGGCTGAATTCATTGTTTAAATGTTTTAACAATGGGTACTAATAACTGGCTTGCAATCTCTACTTCACTTTTCTTGCATCACATCTTCAAAGACAGAACACAGTGTATCTGCTAAATCAGTTAAGGAGCAGGTGAAAACTGACACAGAGATAGCTCTTTATTCGTTGTTTATAACAGAAACTAGAATTTAGCAGTTCTTTTTAGATACTTGTCATTGTTATTAACTTATCTATAAGGATATGTTATGAAGCAAGAATAAATAGTGGACCTCATATTCAAATCCTTTTAAAGTGGGTGCATGTAAGTTAGGCTGATCAAACATATCACCCCTTTGGCCCTATTCTCCAGCCTGACTCTTACTTACCAATCCTCAATAATTGGCATGCAGCCACCATTTATTTATCAACACACCATCACCGCCTGGGATAAAATCAAGGCTGTCTTTTCTTAGGAATTCTGTGAAATTTCTAATGGAGTAATAGACCAAAACCAAGAGATGTGAATTCTATCTCATCTTCATTTTTAAAAATTTGTAAAATTATGTTTATATATTTATTTTTTGCAAGAGAAAGAGTGAGAGACGGCACAAGCCAAGGAGAGATGGAGAGACAGAGAGAGAGAAATCCCAAGCAGGCTTTGTGCGGTCATTGCAGAGTCCAATGTGGGGCTCAAACTCATGAACCATGAGATCATGACCTGAACCCAAACGAGGAGTTGGATGCTTAACCGACTGAGTCACCCAGTCATTTTATATACTTTGATGTCACTTAGCCAATCCATGGCTAATCATGGGCACATATCTATTCAACAAGATACATGACCAGCTTACAGACTTTATAGGATTAGTATATTTTCAAGTGAAAAAAAAATCCAATCATTTAACAGCTGTAACAACAAATAGATATGGAAAACTTAATTATTCATTCTTCACTTATTATACATGCTTATTTAGACTAATAGTAAAATATAGCCCTGGCAGTTTAGTTTTTCAAAATAAAGGGAGAATATGTATCAAAATGAAGTTATCCAACTCTGACAGCAAGCATATGTATTCAATAACTGCCAGGTAATATTTTCCTCATCATGATAATATATAGTAATATAATTTTCTAAGAAGTACATGAGACAATGTAAGTACATAAGACAATGTATGTTGTGGCTGTAATTTTATAAATGCATCCAAAAATTACCTCTAAGACACATGGAGAACAACAGCATGGCTTGCTTCCAAAGTTTTACATATGATCAAAATATAATAACCAGTGAGAAAGGTTAGAAACTGTAAAAGATTCAATATCTGAATTGTATTATTAAAAAACCAGTGATCAGTCACAAATACCATAATAATTTTAAGTGGATAGATAGATAGATAGATAGATATAGATATGGTTAAGAAAGATGTGTACTTATGTCAAATTGATAAGGGGTAGACTACTGTGGCTTTTTTTAAAGTGTCAACTTGGCTAGGCTTCAACTACTTTTTCCAGAATTCTTTCCCTCTGAGGTTTCAGGTTAGGGTTAACCACAGGGAGAAATATATTATATAGTGATGGCAGACATAAAATAGCAACCATTTTATACTTGGAAGGTTGGCATAAAACAATGAGCATTGTGCAATCTGTGTATGTCATTGCTGATCTTCTGGCTTGCTTTGAGAAAGAACGGGGCCTACAGCTATTTAAACCTCTACCAGTTTTTCAGCTTTTGTGAGTATAGGGGCGGGTGAATGTGCATTTCCACAGTGAAATGCATCAACTTCTCCCAGAAGTCATCCACATCATAGTTACAGATAGTGACAAATGGGCACAGGTTCTAGTTTATAGATCTAGTGCATGATTCCAATGCATCCTTTTCCATTCCAGTTGGCTTTTGCTCTCCCCTACTTCAGATCTAGCTTTCCTCTTTTACTGAGAACTTATTCAGTACCAAATGGTGAGGCAAAAGCCTCCACTAGCTCTCACTATTGCATCAGTTCTAGTTCCCATAATTAATCTGATATTCTATATGACTTACACTGGTTCTGCCTCACTGATTAAACCCTGACTGATAAAATTAGTATGGAGAATTTATTTTAAAACTTCTACAAAATGATCAAGACAAACACCTGAATAGAAAAATGGAGAAAGAGGAGTGCCTGGGTGGCTCAGTCGGTTAAGCATCTGACTTCGGCTCAAGTCATCTCACAGCTCGTGAGTTTGAGCCCTGCGTGGGGCTCTGTGCTGACCACTCAGAGCCTGTAACCTGCGTCAGATTCTGTGTGTGTGTCTCTCTCTCTGCCCCTCCCCTGCTCATGCTCTGTTTCTCTCTCAAGAATACATAAATACTAAAAAATCTGGGGGGGAGCATCTGAGTGGCTCAGTTAGTTAAGCGTGTGACTTTGGCTCAGGTCTTGATCTCATGGCTTGTGAGTGCAAGCCCCACGTCAGACTCAGCAGACAGTTCAGAGCCTGCAGCCTGCTTTGGATTCTGTGTCTCCCTCTCTGCCCTTCCACCACTCACTCAATAATAAACATTAAAATTCTTCTTATTTACATTAAAAAAAGAAAAATTGAAAAAGAAACAGAAAAGTCACACACACAACATATACACACCAAACACACACACACACACACACACACACACACACATGCTAACACAGAATGTTGGACCTCACCAGTAATTAGGTTAGGGAAACATAGATTAAAATGTGAGCTACTATTTCACACTCACAAAGCAGTGAAAATTGTAATATATGATAACTCTTAAGATAAGCTTGGATGACCAAGAGGAAGCCATATGTGTTACTGGTGAGACTGTAAACTATTTAACCACTTTGGGAAATAATCCAGCAATATTGATAAAGCTAAAAATGAGCAATCCCTAAGAACTACCAATTCTACATCTAGGAAGGACCCTAAAGGTATTCTCACATAGTAAAACTGGGAAGGAACACATAATGTCCTTTGTCTACAGAGTAATAGTAATAATGTATAGTTGACCTTCAGAAACAATACATTTATTTTGAGGTTTAGTCATTCAGGAGGAGGTGGTCTCCACTGTCAACTATAGTAGGTAGCCCCCAAAGATCCCTGCCTTGAGGTAATCAAACCCTAGCATAATCCCCTCTCCTTTTTTATAGCCTTGACTTACTGTCTCACTTCTAGTGAACAAAAAATATGGTAGTGGTTATGGAATGTCACTTGTAAGATTAGGTTACAAAAGAATATGGCTTCTATCTCTCTTACTCTGCTACACTGTAAGCTGCCCTATGGAGAGACCCCCACAAAATGAATCGATGTCTCCAGGAATATTCAGCTGTGTGTAAATAGGTTCTACTTACATAAATGGGTTAGAAAAAAGCTTAGGGTGGAAAGCCGCCACCATAGGGCAAAAGCCCCCAAAGTTAGCTTAGCAAGATATCATAATGGGATCATGAGTAACTTGTTATATCACCTGAAGGAAATTATACTAATGTACTTTGATCAGAAATACCACTTGCCCTCCTTTGCTTCTCACACAAGTTAATGATTACTGTCTGAGTGTTTTCCCATGTTCACATGTGTAAGATCTTGTTTTCTTCATGTTCATCATATGGGTAATATCTTGTGATCTCAATAAATATGGAGACAAAACCCTTGTTTGGGGCTCCTGTTTCCTCCTGGACTTTAGCTTCTCTCATATTAAATTCTGCATCTGCTTTCTTGCTGGACAAGAGAGAACTCCAGACTCATAGCCTGTGACATTCAGCTATGTCCTAAGACCAATAAGCATTCATATGTATTTGGATATAGATCCTCCCTTAGTTATGCCTTGAAATGATTACAGCTCTGACACTCTGTTTACAGAGGTGAGAAATTCTGAGCCAGAGACATCCAGCTAAGTCACACTGAGATTCCTGACTCACAGAAACTATGAGGTACTAAGTGTTTGTTGTTTTAAACCACTGAGTCTTAGGGTAATTTATAAGATAGCAATAGATAACCCATATACCCTCCAATAATCACTGCGAACCCAGAGCAGTACACAAATTCATTATTTTCAGACTAATATTTATAAATTCAACCAATCATTACTGAAAGTCTAATCTATCAGGCTCTGTTATAGGCATAAAGTCATGAAAAACCCAGTTTCCAAACTATGCTTTTATGGAGTTTTGCACACAGACAATAAACAAACTATATTTTATGTCAGATGATAATTGGTATTGAGAAAAATAAGGCAAGGAAGCAGAACAGACAAAGCCTGATCTAAGTTGCAATTTTAAAAAGGTTGCAATTTTTAAAAGGGTAGTCAGAGGTGTCCTCTGAAAAGATGACATATGAATGAAACCCTGGAAAGTATGATGAAATGAATCATACAAGATCTGCAGGAAGTACATTCCAAGAAGAGAAAAGAGCAAATGGTAAAGCCTGATGTAGGAGTAAAACTGACCAGTGCAGCAGCTAAGGGGCCTGTGTACCTTTCAGAGGATGTTTGCTTTAACTCTGGAATGAAACAGGGAGTCACTAGGATTTGAAAAGAGGAATGATATCACTAATGTTTTAAACTGATCATTCTGGCTGCTGTGTTAGAAGTGTTGTGTGCAGTGGGGTAAAAGGTGCAGGTTTGGCAGGGTGGTGGGAGGGCGCATTATGTGTACAAACAAGGAGACTGGTAGAATGTTTTTATAACAACCCCAGTGAAAGAGAGCATGGTGGTTTGGATCATAGTGGGAAAGATTAAGGATGTGAAAAATGGCCAGATTATGAATATGTTTTTTTATGACTATATGTTAAAGAGTCACAAGAAGCTGCCAAATAATTAAACTAATTTGTAAGCTAATATGTGTGTATATCCACTGAAGGATACCTAGTATAAATCATTAAGCCTGAAGAATACATGCTTTATTAATTCTTTCAAATATTTATTATTCATAATCTCCTATAGTCTATACCCACTGCTGCTACCTGGCTTCCAGGCACTATAATGACGATTTTCAACGTCTTTTTAAAGGTTTCAAATGTATTTTATTTCTTCAATTATGCTATATTTTAATGAGAAGCAGAGTGCTTAAATGACAAGATAATTTTGAAACAACTTTGTGTTACAGTAACTTGAATGGTTATTTATCATTCCACTCTTCCGGGGTGACTCTGCCAACAGGAGACAGGTTCCATTCTATTCCAATCTGTGTGGCTGTAAACACCCACGCAACAACACAGAAAGTGGCTCCACTGGCCAGAACAATATTACCATATTTGTCATGAAAATCTGATGAGTGTTTCTCATGGCTTTGTCTTGACCAAATTTGTTGAATGCTTCGAATCTTGAACCTTCTTAGTGCATTTCTGGTCAAGGGAAACATCATGAAGGTGTGACAGGACTGCAGTTGATTGCAGCTGCTGGTCTATTTCCTTGCAAAGAGACCTGGGAAAACAAAAGATGCTGCTCAATGGTATCTGATCTATGTTCGGTTGCCCTCTCTGAATATTTTACTCCCGTTACTCCTTAGAGAGGCACCAGTCATGCAGTTTGATACCATGATGTCTGGATTTGAGTTTCAGCTCTGCTACTGATTAGCTGTATGCACTTCGGCAGTTACTCAACCTCTCTTTGCTTCAGTCTCTTCAATGGCAAACAGAGAACAATGTTGAGCTCCAAAGGCTGCTAAGTGTAACAGCACTGGTCTGACTGACTGGTCTTAAGGGTTAATTTGCTTCAAATTAACACACTTCTTACTTGCTGACCTAAGGTCCTTGATCTATAACATAGCTAATTCACTTTCTTGGAGATATGCAGACCACTAGTCTTGAGGACTGAAGGACTAGAATCTTCCTAGGTCATAGAAACCAACAAGTCTGCTTGAAGGCCCTTCGGCTTTCTGATTAGCCCAGCAGTTCTTTAGCAAAATGTTTTTCTTTTTTAGGTCACACAAATGGCTACTGACCTCTCTTTATGCATCTGGAGACCTTGCTCTCCTTTGCAGAAAGAACAGAGTACTCAGACACATCATGAAATAAGAATCAGATCCTCTTGCACAACATTCTCTCAGTAAGATAACTTTTATACCTGGCATCATCGTGTCTGCATGTAATCAAGATATGTTGCAGGCCACTGCACCCCCTTTGCTGATTAACTACACTAAATGTCTTTAAAAACCCTTAGGTCAGGCAGAAACCTTTGAGTTGGCTTTTGGACAAGAGTCCACCTTTTCCTCAGGTTGTTGGCTTCCTGAATAAAGTTCAAATTCCTTTCCAATCAAAACTTGTCTCTTGAGTGGTGACCTTTCAGGTAATGAGCTGAACTTGGGTTCTGTTACATGAGTATTACATGTGATAATCCCTAACAACAACAAAAGTAAGCACACAGTGTTCTCTTTTCTGTTCTTCACAATGACTTGCTCCCTAGACTCCAAACTAATCAGCATGACTGACAAAATGACAATTCAATCCACTAGTCCAATGACTACCAAAACTCAAGTTTCAGTCAGAACTACAAGGCATTCAGAGAGTCATACCTCTTCCTCCTGCTGCTCCTTTTCCTTCTTTTAACCCCCTTCCCCTTCTCTACCTGTAACTCCTGCCCTGCACAAGTAAAAAAATAATAAAATCAGATGTACATGTCATAATAGCCCTAATAATTTTACTTTTTAAACAGATAGTTGTATTGAACAAGAGATCTGGAGGCAGAAACATGGAGTTCTGTCAATTTCTCTTCTTTGTGCAAGCTGTCAAACAGTGCTCAGTTTCTAGCAATGGCATATGTTAGTTAACTGTGGTCCAAATGCAGGCAACATGGATACAAAACGCTTGAGGTCAGTACTTGTAAACTTGTAACTGTTCACTGAGATTTGCCAACTCAAATGACTTGATTCCCAACTTAGAAAACAAGACCCTAAGGTTCTCTTTTATTTCCTACCAGATGGTAAAGTGGTACTCTTCATGACTGTGATTAAAGGGACAAAAAGAGAACCAAATGCCTTTCTTCGGAGGTCCAAAATTTCCAGGTGGTTTTTTTTCCTATTAGTCACGAACCTCTCCAACAAAAGGTACTAACGTTTTAATTTGAATTGAATTCAGGAAGTAGGCTGAAGGTGAAAAGGGTCAGGGTATTACATGTGCAGACTTAATTCGATACAAAAATACTTGTGCCACATAGGATGGCACAAAACTAGAGAATAACTGTAATAACGGATTTCTTGTAGGTCATTCATGTATGCCCGTTACTTGACGACAAACTGATTTCATCACTCCTATCCTCAAGATGTTACGTTGAAACTCAAATACTTTGTCTCTAGTGACAATGATCTCATCCCTTTGTGGCTTAATTCACCCTTTGGCTATTCCCATTTCTGTGAAGCTTTCTTTTCCCTCTAGCTTGAATTTTCTTGTACCCGTAAGTATTCACTGTTAAGAATTTTCTTTTAGGAACTCCTATAGCTTGTAGTTGGCATTTCATAGAACTGTAATAAACTGCAATCTTTCATTCCTTTTTTGTTTTTCCTTGTCAGCATCAGCGGCATCTGTCTCAGTTGCTTCCATATCTATGTTTGTCTGTTTTTGCTTAAAACATGCATGTTAAGAGATGGGAACCCATAGAGTGGAGAAACTTTCCATATTGTTCAACTCTACATAACTTACTTTTATGATAAGTTTCATGTTATCAAGAGTCCTAAACGTATTACTAAAGAATTGAAGCTATAGGATCTAATATCCATACAAAAGCATTAAAAAAAAAAGAAATTCAATAATGTAATGCAGGTAAAGGAAATATTTCTCAAAGTAGATGCTTTCTGATGAAAACAGACTACAAAGAGAGGGAAGAAGACAGATTTCTCTAGGTAATAAGAACAAAGCAGAGGTTCTCTCATGCCTATGGCAATAAAAGAAATATGTTCTGAATAAATATAAACAGTTAAAGAGGATGAAGTATTCTATGAGAATAAAAAGGAAAAATTGATTGTGTCATCTATTTTATATAGCAATGCTGAAACTCAGTTTAGGAAAAATAACTAATACTAGACTTCAATCTAAGTGCAATAAGGCGGTATATATATCTGAAGCTTCACTGGTAACAAAAATAATTTCAAATCACTAAAGGCCATAAAAAAAAGCAAAGCAGTAATATAGTAAGGAAACTAATATTTAATAAATATATGCCTGTTTGCCATTGTCCCAGAATTTTGCACATTTGTAAAAACAGTGCTGCAATGTGATATTTATCTCCATTTTATACATGAGAACAAATGAATTCAACACATGAATTTGAGTCCTATGATTCTAAATCTAATATGTTTTTCAACTATCATGGTTTCTTAAAGTATACTCAATTCTAAGTAATGGAAACAAACAAACAAAAAACCCCAATGTGGTTACAGAGAGGACCCTTTAATTGAAAACGGTTTGCTTCAGTTTACTGTAATATTTACTAGACTTGGGCTGGGTGCCAGTGGTTCCATGCCTACTCTCAAGAAGCTTAAGGTAGAGTGAGGGAATGAACAAAGTCCCTGTTACAGGGAGAGACAGGCTAGATATGAACACTGAATGCCCTTGGTCCACAAGAGGAGTTACATTTCAACCTGGAGTTCTAGAAAATGTTTTAGAGAAAATGACACCTAGGCTAGACCTTGAAGAATGATGAATATATATAAAAAAGCAAAAAACAACAACAAAAAAAAACAGGGGCGCCTGGGTGACTTAGTTAAGTGACAAACTCTTGTGGTTTTGGGTTCAGGTCATGATCTCACCAAGTTTGTGAGATCAAGCCCCACATCAGGCTGTGCGCCCACAGCACAGAGCCTGCTTGGGTTTCTCTCTCTCCCTTTCTTTCTGCCCCTCCCCTGCTCTGGCATACTCTCTTTCTCTCGCTCTCTCCCTCTCAAAATAAATAGATAAAGTTAAGAAAAAAAGACATAAAAAACAAAGCTGGAGTGCAAGGTGTAGATAAATTAGCAAAAGTAAAAGCAGAGAGGGCTGAAGTAGCATGCAGACGGGGCAATCTAGTGAGCTCAGTAATACTAGGTAATAAGTGAAGAAGTAAATGCCAGCAGATGAGCCTGGAGGATGAGGAAAGAACAGCAACACAGTGAGGACTTTATATATCTGGCTATGACATTCGGACTCAATTCTATAGATCAGTGTTTTTCACTGTTGAGGAAACAGTGCACAAACTCACAGCCTTTTTCTGTGAATTAGTAATGAGAAATCTTATTTCTGTGTTCTGTATTTTTACTTTCATAATTTAAAGATATATAAGACAATAGTATGAGACCCAGATGTTGTAACTTATCAGTTTTTGGTTCCTGTGTTTATTTTTGCTCTGCATTTTTGCTTGTGCTATGTACATTTGTTTATCCTGGCTACTGTGAAAAGAATGGAGGCAGTTGTTATATTTAAGTAATGTGTTCATACCAGGGAACAAATAAGGAATTAGATAAAGAAAGTCATGCCACAGCTCACTATATGGTACAGTCATCTGGAATAAAAGAACTATTGCAACAGCAAGCACTGCTACAGATTCTGGACAATATTAATGGTCATACTAAATTATATTATAATTTTAAATTTTCTTCATTTTATGGTTTGGCTCATTTTTAATTTGAAAATGTTTTAGTTTCATAGTTGTATTAAAGGGGATAAATTTGGATTTATGTCTACACATGTATAAGTGATTTTAAAATAATTCAAGATGGTACAAGTTATATAAAGAATTTGTTTCCGATTCCGTATGTAATCCAAGTTTAAGCAACATTCTCACTGGTGAGGAGAAACCACCTATAGGAGGGGGAAAATCTGGGATGGGGGGAAGCACTTTACAAAGATAACTGTGAGGTGGAGGATGGGCATGAAGATGGGAAAAGTGGCAGAAAAGGTAAGAGGTTATTTCAATATTAAGTGTTTATTTTAATGGCTTGTGAAAATGATGAGGATCTGAATTAAATACTGATAACAAAGATGGAAAGAAACTAGAATTGAGAATTATTGGGAAAAGAATCAGTCTGATGTGGAAAATAAGGTATTCTAAGTAAACTGAGTTAAGTCCCTTCACTTAGCCCCTGGTTTAAGATTTTGGTCTCAAATTATATTTCTGTTAAAAATCAGCAGACATTGACACCGTAGCTTGTAGTGACCCCAGAGAATTAGAGTATGGGTGATCTAGGTATAGAATGCAGCAATGTCAAAGCAGACATACTTGAGGTGCTTTAGGAATAGGGAGGTCTAGATACCTGAGTAGAAGGAGAGAGGCTCTTAAAAGGACTTATTGTATGGATGTAAAGCAAAAAAATCAACTTCGTCTAGTCTAAGCATAACACAGACCAATAAATGTCCTGCTTATCTTTGATATTAAGGTTTTCTATCTAAATTTAGGAAGAAAATAAGAAACTGTGTCCTATTTCTCAAATGTGCCTAAATATTACCAGTGAGTATCTCACAGAGAGATGATGCTCAAGAAGGGACTGAGTGAATACCAAGGTTTGCCAACCTAGGCACTACTGACATTATGGTCCAAGTAATTCTTTCTGACCGGGGGGAGATATTCTTGCACTGCAGGGTGTTTAGTTGCATCCTTGCCTCTGAATACTACATACCAGTAAGTAGTATCTTCCTCCCCTCAGCTCTGACACCTCAAATGTATCTCCCGACATTGACAAATGTCACTTAGGGAGTAAAACCTTCCCCAGTTAAGGGAACCACTGTTGTGTACAGGACAAAGCATCTCCTGTCACTTCTCCTAAAATTCTCTAAATGTCATTGTTCTAGTCAATACAGATGCTTAAATTCTAAGAAAATACATAATCCCATTCCCTGCCATGGACTGCATAAAGGTTGCCTATCAACATTTTTTCCTCAAACTAATCTCACTTTTTAAAATGTGCAGTATACAACTTAGATGAATCACTTAGTCTATCTGGGCATCTGCTTACTCGTCTATAAAAGAAAAAACTTGGTATTAATTTGGCTTTTCCCAATCCTGCCTAATACTAAGAGTCATCTGGAATCTGTTATAAAATGTAGATTCCTAGACTAACAGAGCATCCAGGGGAGTAGCCTAAGAATCTATATTTTTTTAAACAAGTTCTCAGAAGTCTTGTCATCAGATAAGTTTATGGAACACTGAATCAGATAATCTCTAAGATCCTATTCAGCCCTAACACACTAGACCTTTCCAAAGAGAAAAACATTTTAGGAAGACCATTTATTCTTTTAGGCCACTGGAAGAGTACAGTAGTAACTGAATTCACCACCACTGTAATTTAAAAAGCAGCACCTGAGTGACCCCAGTTATAGGGACCCCTTGGGAATAAGTTAGTCAACAGAGACATTTAGCAGCACTTAAAAACATGAAAAGTACTAGTAACAGTGGTGTTTGCTGTATAATGGATGATACATTTTCAAAGCTGATGCTCCTAGACTATATTGCTCAATAGTAACACCTTCATTTCCACCTGCTTTTATTTTTACTCTTCTTTTACAGCTTTAGAATATTGACACACGATAAGAAACAATAAAAAAGGTAATCTTCTTGGAATGAAAATGCACATAACCTGCAGTTTCTTCTGTTCATTTACGTATTTCTCAGAAGACTATGCTGCTCAGGGAAGGATTAAGGGTACACAGTGCAAAGTGTCTCCCATCATGACTACTTAAGGAAATATGGAAACCCTGCAAGCAGCAATGCTGCTGGCAGAAATGCCGAACAGCGATTTTATTTCATATGTAATGGAATCATCTCCTCAATGAATTGATGAATGGTACAGCCATTTGCTTAAGGCTATGTTTTACGTCACTTTATTAAGCCTAAAAAGTTACACAAATGGTTGTTACCTGTACAAATAAAAAGGCAGATCACAGTAGTGAGCTGTTATGCCAAGAGGTAAAAGTAACAGAGTGGACAACCTGCGAGCTGATGTCCTCGAATGGCAAATGTTACCTGAAAAGTGAAGTGATATAAAGTATGTACTCTCCTTCAAATTCTACTCACAGTCAAATTCTAAATAAACAGACCATTTCTATCCTATTTAGAATGCTAAAAGTATTCAATAAAGTCCATCCTGAGAATAGTCACAGTGCTGATTCAATTTCTCTTATAGACCTGATCACGTTAATGTGATTCACTCATTAAATACCCAATATATTTTCTTTAATCACAAAGTGCTTTCAACTACACTCATTTTCCCTCTTTCTGACAGGTGTGTGTAAGAGAACAAAACAATAACAGAGAAACTGAGGGCTTTTCTCCATGCCACACTGCAAGTCAGTGCCATGATTATGCAATAATTCTTACTGTTCTATTAAACTCTGGTAGCAAATTTCTTCAAAGTGGATGTCCATGTGTCCATGTTAATTTTACATTTCAATCCATTTACAACACTAGAAATAGGTGATCTTATTATTTTAGGTAATATACTAAGTGTTAAAGGACTTCTGTGGTTACTCTCAAAATATTTTATGTTGGGGCATGTGGGTGGCTCAGCTGGTTAAACATCTGACTTCAGCGTAGGTTATGATCCCATGGTTGGTGAAATCGAGCCCTGAGTCAGGTTCCACACCAACAGTGTGGAGCCTGGTTGGGATTCTCTCTCTCTCCCTCTCTCTCTGCCCATTTCTTCTGCACAAGCACACACACTCTCTCTCTCAAAATAAATAAATAAACGTTAAAAAAAAAAGATTTTACATTAACTGCACTCCATAGCTAATGGATTGCTGTATAGTCTGTCCTTCTAGAAGAGACTATTTCAGTGGATACAGCATGTCAAAATATCTGGATAAATGCACAGCACTTCTCCAACTTAATCTTGGAAAAGAATATTATGGTTGTAATAAATTCTAGAAACTTTGAAATTTTTATCCAGAAAATGATATGGAGTAATTGAAAGACATGAAGGGTGTGAGTTATATGGTCAACCTTGCATCTTAGACATTACTCTGGTACAAGTATGGGGAAGGGTTTGCAGAAGACTACTGCAAATGTCCCAATGAGTAATGATAAAGACTTGGACAGTTCACCCAATTAAGGTCTCAAAATATGGCATCTCTTCTTTTGGCTGTCCTATTTCTGCAGCTACTCCTCAGCGTTGCAGAGCCAGAACACAGTTCTTTGGCACGGGCACCTAAAGATGACAGCCTCTGAGGATCTATCTCATACCACTGGAAATCTTAGAACTTGATGTGTAAACTAGAGTGTGGGAGTGAATTTTTTAACTTCAAAAGAAAAATATTCCATTCCAGTGACTGGAGTACATCATTTATCTCTTAGCTTTAGTAGCCTGACACTGATTTCAATCATAAAGTAACCTTATTATCATTATTTCCCCAAAAATGTGCCTATTTTACTAGTTCTGTTTAATGTTAGTAGGTGTTACTTTTATTTTTTTTATTTAAAAAAAAAATTTTTTTTTTATGTTTTATTTATTTCTAAGAGAGAGAGAGAGACAGTGTGAGCAGGGGAGGGTCAGAGAGAGAGGGAGTCACAGACTGAAACAGGCTCCAGGCTCTGAGCTGGCAGTCAGCACAGAGCCCGACGCGGGGCTCGAACCCACGAACCGCGAGATCATGACCTAAGTGAAAGTCGGATGCTTAACCGACTAAGCCACCCAGGCGCCCCAGTAGGTGTTACTTTTAAATAGGGCTTCAAAGTCATCTAAGTTTAGGAAATACACAGGTAACAAAGTGAAAATTGTTTTCTATTGAAGTATTTTCCAAACCTCTATTGTGCTAACGTACACAGCTATTCTCTGAGAGGAATGGCATGTGGGCCTTTCCAAACTTAGCAGAACATGCCATGCTTTTTTTCCCCCTGGAGCGTATCTCTGTATTAGTGTTTTTCAGAACACACTTCAGGGAACACCAAAGAATGTCTCTGTGCTCTCAATGCTGTTACATCATTGTACTCATTCCCAATAGTTTAATAGTTCCAGAAGGCATTTCACAACAAAATCACTTCTTTGTAAGGGACTTTTAACAAACATATGACTGAAGGAGTTTAGAGTGTATGTGAAGTCCAGGGTGTCTTAACAACACTCATAGTAGTAATTAACTCTAGCCTTCATTATGTGATTCTTACTTCTACAGTTTTAATATCTGTGCAGGTATTTCCCTCCTCTCCACATCTACCTTTATTCATTAAATGCTCTATGAATAGAAAGATAGCATGATTCTACAATGCCCATTAGAGTTGCAGCAACAACCCCTCACTGCATAATCTGAAACTTTCATTTAAATATTGAAATGAAAATGTACAAGCCATTCCTGCATTTAATCTAAATATGTCACTGATAAGTAAAAGTAAAAATTGAAAATTTTAACTTTTAGATACCAAAGACATTTGAAATCTGAAAGATGCATTCAATTGAATGTTTCCATGTTTGATGAAAACTGTCTTTGATTTCTAACCTGAAATCATGCCCGTAAAGGTCTACTCCAGAAGTTAACTTTGATCAAATCCCAAATTCAGATTGGAACATTTAGTGCAGCAAAATAATCCTTTCTTCCATGTTTCTGAAATCTCCAGATTCTTTTATTTCCGACTTAGGTCTTCCCTGCCCTCCTAAACTCTGCTCAAATACATCTGTAAATAAAACCTTTATGAGTAAGGCTTTTGTTCTTGCCATCATCTGGGAAACCATATTATGAAGCATCTGCAGAGAAATTCCATTTGATGAGAAGAGCACTTCACAGCCCTAAAGTAGTAACTATCATCACTTTCCAAGTTGTTTTTCCAGGCCAGCTCTCTTTTAGTATACTTTTTTTTCTTTTCACTTTCATATAATTTTGAAAACTTATAACAAGATGTTGGCATTTTACCTTTTTTTTTTGTTCTTCCATTTAGGATCCATTATTTGGAAGTGAGAAAGACTTTGGCCAGAGGGGCTGACTCTGGTAAACTGATTTTTTTCTTTCTTGTAAATGCCTCAGAAGAAACAGTGAGACAGGATGCACTTTGCCAAGCCTTGGGGCAGGGATTCTGCTTTAGTGAGCTGATATTTCATTTTAGTTTTTAAGTTCTTGAGGGATGGACACTAAAAAAGAGGTTATCCATCTAAACACATGCAACAGAAATTCAGAACACAGATTCTTGTTTTCAAATTCTAAGCCTTCCAAGTTAGAATTCTATTTTCAAAGAAGTTACTTTCAGCTTCTCTTTCATTAATCTAATGGAATCTAAAATGTCACAGACTAAAAACAGCATTCTTAACTAAATTAGTATAATTTAACCATGTGAATATTTGTTAATTGGAAAAGTAAGATTTCTATACAAATAGGTCATAATTTTGGTTACACAAATCATTTATATGGCTTACAACCATTGCTGCTGATGAAATTGTGGGTTTCTTTATATGATGTATTTTATCACATTTGTCAAATCCAAATCATAAGATCTAAAAGACACAGACATCACTTTAAACTGTCCTTTAATGTCTTCTGTAATTGTTTGGTCACTGGACATTCATGACTTGGTATTATAAACATATGCCTTTCTTACATTCTTTTTCTATTTGAAGGAGACATGGAGAAACAAACTCATGAATGTGTTTTACTAATGCAAGCTAATTATGGGAAAAAGGCACAAAGATCTAAGTATAGAAATAGGTGAGGGACCTGAATCCTTTGCCCTCCTTAGAATAAGGATATTGACTGAGAATGGAAGATGGATGGCTTCCTAAAAGCAACAAGATGCTGTTAAAAGAAGAAGGTGAAATGAATACTAAAATTAGGGGTGGGAGGGAAAGTCCACAATAAGGGAAGAAAAACTTGATCTAATCATTGGTCTATCAGGGGGAGAGGTAAAAACAGAGATTTATTCATTAAATGACAGGGACCAGGGATTAGATTGCCTATAATTTCTTCTATCTCTAACATTTTGTTTCTGCATCAAAAGCTTCAAATAAATGTGCTGCACAGGCCCAGAGAAGTCAGTGTTATGGGAGATTACAACTGTGTGGGAATGGGCCGATACATACTCTTCTACTTATTTCTAGGGGTGCCTGGGTGGCTCAGTCTGTTAAGTGTCCAACTTCGGCTCAGTGTCCAACTTCGGCTCAGATCATGGTTTGTGGGTTCGAGTCCTGTGTTGGGCTCTGTGCTGACAGCTAGCTCAGAGCCTGGAGCCTGCTTCTGATTCTGTGTCTTCTCCTCTCTCTGACCCTCCCCTGCTCATGCTGTCTTTCTCTCAAAAAATAAATTAAAAAAAAATTTAAAAATCTATTTCTAGAACTAAAAGTTGCCCTTTCAAGTCTGCATAATGAAAAGATCCTCTAGAAACCCTAGATAATACTGAAATTATTTTATTGCTTACGCATGATTCAACCGAGCTCTTCTTATGTGACTACAGTCTGCTGAACACTAGAGTTACAAAAATGGGTAAGAATGGCCCATTCTTTTAGGAATATTCAGCTATTGAAGAGACAGATAATCATAAGGTTTAAGTACGAAAAGTGTTATAACAGATATGATCAGGATGCCGTGTCATCAAAAATGAAAGGTACCCTTCTCATCCACAGAGTTCATGAGGAACTTCCTGGATTAATGGTGGATGAGTTAAGTTCTCAAATATGTTCAACCAGACACAAAAAAATGGTGTGAAGAAACTTACTAAGGGCTTTTCTTCAACTGTCAATGCTAAAATTTTGTTTTCAAATACTTCTCCTTTGAAGGAGACCTTCACACTCAAACATATATGAATCAAGACAGTCTTCGTTAATGTCAAGTACAAAATAGCAGCACATGTAACAGTGGCACATAAGCATCATATTGAAATAAATCTTCTGGCTTTTTGCCAATTCTATAATACATTTTCATCTTGATTTCATCTTGATTGAATATAATAATCACCACAACATTTGCTTTTAATGTTACTAAGAAACAATAGCAGATAGACTTCTTCAAAAATAAATGTAGACAATTCATTAAGACTGACTAGACACAAAATAA